AACTTGTTACTATTAATGAACATTGTTGAATGTGTTCGAATGTTAATTTGAGCTTTCCTTAAATTGATCGAGATTGACGTAAATTTGGTGATAACAATGATAAATGTGCGTTAGAAACAACACTTTTGATCGAGGATCTCTTTATCATTTCTATATAAATATTATTCAGGGTGTGGGTGTGAGTGTGGGTGAGTGTGGGTGTGAGTGTGGGTGCAGGTGTGAATGTGGGTGTGGATGTGGGAGTGGGTGCAGGTGTGAGTGTGGGTGTGAATGTGGGTGTGGGTGTGGGTGTGAGTGTGGGTGTGAATGTGGGCGTGGGTGTGAATCTCGCTGAAGAACAAACTCACACCCACCCCACACCGGCACCCATACCCACACTCACATTCTGGTGACATCAGTCAAATGTTTACTGGAAGAATCGTAGCAAAATTTATTGATTGTTCAATGCAACATCCCGTTTCTCAATCAATTTTTGTCCATATTTTACGGTTGATAAATGTTGAATAATTGAGCAGCAAACAAGATTCCTTGTAACAGATACATAATAACAACAAGTAGAATGAATCAACAGAGGCATTTGTATTGATTTTCTCCTAAATGATGTGAAGGAATTAGAAATGCTGAAAATGTGCCATTCATAAGTCACTAAAGGTGCAATAGCTCTTGCTATTCAAGGATGTGTAACGACTCGATTATTTGGACTTGATAAAATATTTTTTGACTAACTTAAACCAAGTCAACTACATATATATGAAGACATTAACAAAATAATCCGAGATCTGCCACCGAAAGCAGCACGATTTATATGTGGAATGGAAGAAGTTGCCAAGACATTGGAACATGTGGATGTATCATCAAAAATGTTTGGAGGAGCAGCTGAAACTTATTGATTTGTTGCTGAAGAAGTACCATTGGGAAAAGATAGACTTGAAGAACGAAAAGGAGGCAAAACACTAGATGATGCATTAGAACTTATGGCAGAATCACTTGAGAAGAAAATAATTTTGAAGGAAAAAATGGGAAGGTTGAAACAAAATACTTACAAAAGAGACTTAGACATGTATCCTTGATGGGTTCGTTGACATATATAACTGTAGCACGAAATTGGAGGGGATGTGGGGTCGATCCCCTTTCTAGGATAAACGTTTTTCTCTTGTCCAGGGCATTGAATGATTATAAGTATGGCTCTGATGGTGCTCATTGATGTACGAATATTATATAGTGGAGCATGCGATAGAATTTGATTCTGCGTTCCTATGTAGGTTGACTGAAGATGGCAGATGTTCAAATCTTTCTTCATTTTGGGAAAGGTTCTCAAATCAACTCGTCCTTACACCTTTTTCAGTTGCGTAGAACATAAATGTGCCATTTTATTGTAAATTGGTTTACAATTAAGACAATCAGGTTGAGAAATAAGAGACATCATAGTGGACACTTTTCGATGGCTCTTTTCTATGAAGCTCAATATGATTTCATTTTCGACTGTCTTTGTTCTGACGAAATAAGAAACAATTGAGTATAGGAAAGACTAATTGACTTCGTTGTCTCAGCACGAATTATTATCAATGTCAAATTTTTGCACCCGATTGTTATTCTGATCAACAACATATAGATTTCCGTCAAGATCAAATAAAATACCAATAGGATTATCGAGTTGATCAGATCGAGAACCTTGACCACGACCACCAGCGATAACAGTGCCAAATGTAGCACCATGTGGCCATCGCATTACTCGGTTATTATACGAGTCAGCCACATAGACAGTGCCTAGCCCATCGACAGCAACACCACTTGGAAAATAGAATTGATTTGCACCATCGCCTCTAGATCCACCAGCAACAACCGAGATTTGTGTTGTTTGGTCATCTACTTTTATCACTCGATCGTTGAACACATCGGATATATAGATCGATCGATATCGATCAGCGAATAGTAAGCCCGGAAATTGAACTTCTGAAGTGATCGACTGTCCAATCATCTCGCCGATTCGCCATTTCTTCACTTCATTTTTTCGCAGATCAGACGTATACAGTGAACCTTGATCATCTTGTACTATACCGAAGACAAATATATCATCTATAATTGTTTGTCCATTTCGAGCACCGAGAGACCATCGCTGAACACGCTCATTACCTCTGTCACTAATGTACATTGTTCCATTTGGATCGACACTAACATCCAGTGGAAAATTTAGTTGATTGCTATCGTTTCCTCTTCCATTTCCACCTGCGACTAGCTGACCACTTGAAACGTTACGACCCCATTTAACTATTCGGTCATTAACACTATCTGCAACATAGAGATTTTGATTGTCATCAAGAAAAAGTCCATGTGGACGATCGAACTGATTGAGTTGAGATCCTTGACCATTGCCACCAGCTATCGTAGTAGCATTTTTAGCCCAAGTTGCGTTTGCACAAATGTCATCACCAGGTCTCAACGGTAAAGATGGAACTAAATTAACACGAAGAACAAAAGATATTCGTTGGCTCAGTAAAACTTTCATTTCATTTTATCATTATCCGAATAGCTGGTATGTACACATTTCTGTCAAAAGATATTTTCCAATCATAGATGTAAAGTATGGAAATTGCCAAAAATGGAACACAGCAATTTCAGGAATTACAGACGTACAAGAGAGAATTTTTGCATAATTCTCAAATTTTCACTATCTACTTCTCTATATAAAACACTTTTACACCCAGTCCAAAAAGTATCCGGATGCCCCATATTTCATGAGACACGGTCCCGTAATTCAAGATGATAGTCAAAGTTGCTGATGTTTACACAGAACCGAGTATGAAGTGAAGACTATCTATTGGTGCAAAAAGAAAATTTTTATCTCTTGTTTCTGCTTCGCAAATCAAAAGATGAAAAAACATGAGGTGTCCGGACACTTTTTGGACTGGGTGCAAAGACACTTTCTAATGTTTTCGTCCAGGAACTATGATAGAATTTTTGAATAGAAATTCAAGTTTCGCCTCAATTTGTGAGTAACACTTTGTTGTCTCACTTGGTGGACAGATTGGTTCAGTCATTGACAATGGATAACAAATTGGATGATCAAAACATCGAGAATGATGAACACAGACATGACCAGGCTGATAACAAACATTATTTAAAGGTTCACACGAGATAAGTTGAGAACAAGTTAACCACAGAAAAGCACAAATACCACTGCCTTCAGCAGCTTTCGTATGAAAACAACCACATGCACTATTCGTCGAACATTCACCATACTGAGACACTCCTTGACACGTTTGACATTTCACGCAAACTATCATTAATACATATGAATATAGGATGCGTAAAAATGTTTCTCCAGGGGGATAACGCCGTGATTTTAAATAGGATCAATAACAAATTTTATACCAAATGAAAGCGTATCAAAAATGGGGTTTGTCGGTATTAAATGGCAAGGGTTCTGCCAATTTTTTTTTATATCAAACATAACAAATCTCTAGAGATTTCCGCAGTATAGTTGTGGTAATCTATTGATAATGAGTCATTAGACAAGAAAGATGCTTTTTCCACAAAATTTAATAGAAATATCGTTGTGTTAATTATTCAGTATGATCCAGCTCACAAGTTAATATCATTCTTTTTTGTTCTATTGTCTTTTTATCTTCTTCTTTTGAATACAAATGACGGCATAACGTCAGAGCAATAGAAATGATAAAGCAGTATTCATTTTTATTTACCGCAGGCCATTTTTTCGTTCTGCAGTCACATTTTCAATTCAGTTATCGAATAGTGCTTTTTTCACTCCTATTCTATGTTAGAGCGAAACTATTAAGCACGTGTGGAACACTATATAAGATCGTTTCGCGCTTTATAAATCTCATACACAAAAACAATTGATCCTTTTCGTTAAGCAATTTATCTTAATTGACTGAAAATGGCTGGTACTCATGACACAGAACAGCAAAGAATTATCGTTAGAATCAAATGTATTGCTTTTCGTGAAGCTCGGGATGCCGTTGCAACATCTATTAATCGACAATGGATTGCAGACAAAATTCATCGTACTACGCGATTTGGTACAGAATGGTGGGAAAAGTTATATGATGATTGTTTTGCTGATTATTCCGAACGTGGTCGTACACTTAAACTATCAGATGCAAGTAGAAACCTCATTCTCAGTGTAAGTGGTAAACAAAGAAAAAGTATTTATGTTATGGTGAAAGAAATTGCAGAAAAACACAAGGAATATGTTGTTTCAAAAACAATTGCCAATTATCGTCATAGAGAAGGAATAAAGCCGTTTCATGTTATTCCAAGGCCGTTAAAAACAGAAACTCATATCTCAGACAGGTTGTGGTTTTGTGATTGGTTAAAATATTGGACTCAAGAGGACTTTCTCCATCTTGCATCATCGGATGAATTTTATACTTGGACTGTGCGCAGATCAAATTATCAGAATGATCGAATTTGGGCAAAAAGTGTTGAAGATATTGAAGATGATGAAAGATATCGCGAAATGGTTAAAAACCAAGCGTGCATCGGCATTTTTATCATTTTCACTGAAAAAAAGTTGCATTGGGTACTTAAAGATAAAGGTGAATCGTGATCCGGTCAATATTTTCGTGATACTATTTTAATGCAATACGTATTTCCATTCCTCAACGATGAAGAAAATGTAATCGATGCGGATGACGTCATATTTGTTCATGACAAGGCACCATGTATGCAAGCAAATATGACTCAACATTTATTTCAAGACAACAATATCAATCTTTGGGAAATGACACCTGGCCTGGAAATTCATCTGATCTGAATGTAGCTGAACATATTGGAGCAATAATTAAAAATGAAGTAGAGCAAAAAATGTTATCAGAAACAGAAGATAGCCGTTATGTGAAAGAAACATAAAAAAAACACCTGTCATATGTTTTGACAAAGATGGAATCAAACACTGAGTTATTTGAAACTCTCTTATGTTCCTATCCATCACGTCTTCGTGCAGTAAAAAATGCTAATGAACGTCATACTGATAATTGATTTTATTCATCAAATCTGAAAAAATAAATCTGCTTGATATCATCCATCATTTTGAATCAGATTTAGTGCGAACTGCCTCATTAAAGAAATTTTTTCATACTAAGATAGCGAAAATTGCTAAAGATCTGTTATGTTTAATATAAAAAAATTGGCAGAACCCTTACCATTTAATACTGACAAACCCCATTTTCGATGCGCTTTCATTTGGTATAAAAGCTTTTATTGATCCTATTTAAAATCACGGCGTTACCCCCCTGGAAAAACATTTTTACACACCCTGTAGATGGGCATGTCAAACAAAACTCAAACCTGTGAGACTAAAATAGAAAATCATTCAATAGTAGCGAAATCATGAATTAGAAGATAGAATTACCTGAAAAGAACAAATACGAAATAACAGATTGTTGATGAAACCATCGCTTACATTCGAATGGAAGAGACTCGTGACAGTATCCATTGCTTTCTTTAAAATACATAAATGGTATTTTAAGCCGTCATTTTTAGATAGCAAGAAAGCACACGTTTCATGTTTCAATACATAGAGCTTAGCATTTAATTGATACAGCACACTCCATACACAACGGGTTTTAAAGTAATCAATTTAGATCGGAGTTTTGGAATGAAAAACAATGGTTTCTTGATCATCAATATGATTGTCATGAAAGTTCAAATAATGGAATATTTTATTCAACAAATCCATATCAATAAAAAGAAAAGATTAATTTTATTTTGACAAACTCAAAATCTTATTAGTCAGGGTCATAGATCAATAAATGCATTTTCGTGAATGTCAGGGAGAAGAATGAGGGTGTGGGTGTGTGGGTGTGGGTGGATGTGGGTGTGTGTGTATGGGTGTGGATGTGGGTGTGAGTTCAGATGTCGATCTCTTCTTGCCTCACATCCACACCCACACCCACATCCACCCACACCCACACCCACATCCACCCACACCCACACCCACCCACGAGGGGCCGGTTTTGCCTCTTAACGACCTCCCCAACCCCCTCCTTTTTAATGCAAGATATTATATATAAGATTTTCCAAAGTACTTTCTTTAAAAATATACTCGAAAAAACAAAATACTAAAATGATACTTTGTAAAATTATTAATTCCTTTAGTGTTATTGTTTAATTCAATTTATACTTTGATGTCTTTTCCATAATTTTATTTATAATTCAACTCATCGATCAACTTCTTGTGAGAAATAAACAAAATTTCGTTGAAAGAAGAAGAATAGAGAGAAAAGAAATTTTCTATTACATAACTCAATATAAGTCTGAATGATCATTTAAATAAAAAATCCTTATGAGTTTTAGACTAATGAGTAAAAAATCCGTTTTAACTTAAGGATACTAAATTAATTATCCATCATAGTGCATCATTGATATGGAAAATTTATGTGTGGATGGGTTTGAATATTCTTGGTGGGTGTGGGTATGGGTGTATCTGTATTTTTTTTCCTCCGGACATCCACATCCTGCGCTCACACCGTTTTGGATTCGGATTTCTCTTGTTGAGATTTTCCTTCTTGACGAATTCATCTATAGAGATCTATAGAGATTTTTTAAAGTCATCTTTTTTTCCGAGCTTTTCTGGTAGAATTTATTATCAATTTGCTATTTCAAAGAGTTCTTCGGTTTTTGTTGATACCATTCCGAAGTGTTTTCTCTAGAATATGATGTAGAAATGTTGATAAAAAATTCCAAAAGAATAGCATACAAAACTACTCATTCTGAAAGTATCACGTACAAAAATTGAATACATTTCCAATTAGTATCTGGAGTATTAGAGATATATTTGAAATATAGATTACTTATAGTTAGTTCATGATATATGAAATTATATAATCAGATGAATTAATTCTGTTTCTTTTAGATATTTCGTTTCAATCAGAAAAGTAACGAAGAAAAACATGTTGAAACTTTTAAGAAATTAAAATCATTAAGGGTGCTTTTTATGATGCTATTTTTTGTGTGACTTGGATAAAATATCAATTAAATATAGTTTAACAAATTATACATTAGGTTTAAAAAAATCTATTTAAAATAAATGGAAGTTCTTACAATTTATTTTTATTTTATATAACAAGTACGAATAATAATACATTAGATTACTGAGTCTAATTTATACATAAAGTGTAAATATAATGCATACATAAATTTCTATTTCTTTTCAAAAATGTGTGTAACTTTTCCAGTTGAAGCGTCGATTATTTGAAGTAATATGATCAATACTAAACCATTTTACAGAGAAAGGTTTTCTCTTTCATCTGGCATATTTGAGCTTATTTTTGTTTCTACTTTGGATGCGTTTTAACACTCAGATTTCATCCAGTGTCAATATATAGACCTTATAAATATTAGTTTAGGACTCTTAAACTAAGGATTTTAAGAAAGGTATTTTCAAATTCTTTTTAGCTGCTCCAGAAAGTTAACAAGAAAATACGTTGACGTACTAAAATTACTATTCTCTACCTGCTTGCTACGAATAGTATCAAACTTTGTATGGAAACATTTATGAGGATCAAAATCCAATATAAAATGTTTGAAATTTAGAGAAGGATGTCCGGATTGATGTTTATTTTCTATTTAATTTATGCATAAAGTAAAGTATTAATAATATCAATTGAAAATAAGTTTAAATTATTTTTACGTGCAGCTTGTGTTTAAAAATAAAAATAAATTTTATGAGATTTGGCCCTACTATGTAGTTTACGAAGTCATAAATTAAATTCAAATATTCTATCTCTATTTGACAATTCATCTCAATAAGAGGCGCAACAAAAAGACGTGTGGAATTATATAGAAAATAAAATTCTGAAAAGTACACTTTTTTTAGGTATTCGAAATGGGTTCATGTTTTCGAACAAATGTGTAACGCGAAGAAAAATTTAACTTATTACGAATATACTCATCTGTTAGACAACCAGACCCACATCCACACCCAAACAGAATATCATTCTTGCATAAGATTTAACTTGGAAAAGATTAAAAGAATATATTAAATAATCTAACATATCCGAATGACCAGATGCATGAGAATTAGTTAGCAAAGATAAAATCTTTCAAGAAAGATTAACGAAAATATACGTGAACGTTTTTAGAAAAACAAAATTCTATTTTCTGTTGTTTATTTTCAAAATAAGTCACGAATACTACAATAAAGAATTTCATTTTCATAAGGATAATCTTTTTTTCTTTTAAGTTAACAATGAAGTGTTTGAAATTATCTTTAGTATTTTTTTGAAAAGATTATATACACATGTAGTTTATCGACCACGCGATATTAATTGAAACAATAAAATCAAACTCATAATAATAATTTGTTTCAAATTATTTACAGCATTTGATCTTTCGGAAAGTAATAAAAAATTATTTGAAATCAGATTTATGTAATATATTCTTAATTACATTAATATTTATTTTTGATGATTGCATAGTTGTTTCGTTATACCTTGATGAGTTTGAAAAGTATTATTAATTTGTACACTTTCATATGTTATATATGGTTGATTGTTTCTTATCGGTGTCAGCTAAAAGTTGATTCAGCTCTTATTGTTAAGATTTTGATACATTGAATGTGGCAACTACTATTCAATCACTCCAGATCGTTCCATTCTCATGTTATAAGTATTCTTCTAAGACTCGAAATTGACTAACTACAGTAGAGGACAAACGTTGAAGTGCAATTAGTTTTTCTGTATTTTTTTTTCATATTATGAGGTACAAGTCGGATTTAAATGGTGATATAAATAGTATGAGAGGTCAGCTACATGATGCATTATAGAATGAGGCTCTATCTGTCTATATAGATTTATCGTAATTAAAATAATCTTTTTTTTTGTATGCATGAACAGATTTAAGTGTCTTCCAGTATTTCACAATTCCTAACGAAGATTTTTAAGCTAAAATGAAACAAAATTATATCAATCGAGAGAACAATTTCACGTTTTATCAGTTTATTTTAAAAAAAGACCTTTTCTCAGAGTTGATCTCTATCCTCGAAACTCGGCTTTTGTCCAGTTTTGAATACTCTTTCCAACGGCGTATAAAACATTGTAATAAGAGGGAACTTATGAAGGTAATTGCCTTTTTTTCGTTCTGCTTGACTGTTCTCACTAAAACCAAGCTTCGAAGATGAAGATTGACTCTGAGAATAAGTTTTTTATAAATTGACAGAGCATGAAATGTTCTTGGTAAGGAAACACGAAATACTGAAAGGTATTTAAATCTGTTTATGCATAGTTTATACTATCTACGTATATATATTCATAGTGCATTTTCTCATAAAAACTACATAGAATACGATGTACTTTATTCTTTCCTATATAAAATATACTTGTGAATTATTATAATTTATTATATATAGAAACAATTCATAAGGAAACAAAAGAAAAAATCACCGTATACGGATAAATTAAGGACTGTTCATCTTCTTCATACGATATATTCAACAATAACAACATTCATCCAACTATAAACTTATTAAATCATTGACAATGTCAACTATTGAAAAATGCGTTGTTGTTGTTCTTCTGGACGACATCGGTCAAATAGAATAAATGAATATGTTCTGAAACAAACGACAAATTACAATAGTAATTGAAAAATATCATTGACGTTTCTAAGTAGTAACATCAATCACATCTCTTAATTTCGTTTTTATTTGTCTCATCCGTTGACCCGTATATAAATATCGACTTTTCTCCAATAAAACAAGCAGATAAATAAACATTAATATGGAATATTCATGCATCGAATTGAATGATATACCTGATGAAGTTCTTCTCATTATTTTTCAAAAATTAAACAATATTGATGTACTTTACTCCTTGCATGGTGTTAATAAACAATTGAATAAAATAATACGTGATCCAATATTTACAACTAGTCTGAACTTTGTCAAATGGTCATCTAACAAATTTCTTAATAAATTATCTTCTAATGTGATACTTAATCGATTTTGTTTACAAATTTTACCTGATATTTCTATTAAAATCAAATGGTTTCATCTTGAATCATCATCTATAAAACGTATCCTACGTGCTGCTAATTATCCTAATTTATATGGACTCGATCTATACAATATGAAAGAAAAGACAGCTAGACGTCTTTTTATCGGTAAGAAAATCTTCATAGAATTCCTTTACTCCTAAACAAACGAAAATTTAAGATAGACACGAATATTCTACTGAAATCATTAATAGAGTTGCATAGATCATTGAATATATGAAAGAATTTTTATTTCTAATATATATATTATGATGAAGTTACAAAAGAATATTTATTACTTTTAAGAGATTTGTTTAGAGAAAAGAGAAATTATTTCTAAAAATAATTTGTTTCTGTCAAAGATAATCTTAATCGTTGATCTATATATAAATATATTTTGATATAATAATTGTATATTTATGTGTTTAGATGAAAGTCTATCATCTAGTATTTTTAAAAGGCAAATAAAAAGACTGATTATAACAACTGAACCCAATAAAAATTATTTATTGGCAATCGTAAAAATGTGCAGTCGGATTTTTTCTGTGTTTAACAATTTAACACATTTAATGTTTGGTGAATCATCATATGAAAATATTGTTCCCTTACTATTTGATGTTCCATCTCGAAGTTTTTCTTCTTCAAATCTTTTACTATTAAATATCAAAGTTCAAAGTATCTCACAGTTTGTTTATCTTATCGATGGTCGTTTCAATCAACTTCATACACTCATTGTTGATTTAATTAATCCTGCTGGTTCAATAGAAATAATAAAGAATAAAGTTAGTTTTAAAACAAAATAAATTTAATTTTTTTTTTGTATCTTTAGACAAAAATCCCAAATCTAAAATGTTTTGTTCTATCATGTGCTTGGGAAATGACATATTTCGATGAATGTTGTTTGCAACTTCTTTATCGAATGTCAAATTTAGAAAAACTTGGTTTATATATTACGACCTATGTCCGTGATACATTTATTGATGGAAATTATTTGAAGAAAAATATTTTCAATCGTATGCCACAATTAAATGAATTTTCATTTGATTTTCGTTCTCTTTTATTTATTAATAATCAAATCAATTTCCCATCAAACGAAGATATTCAATGAACATTCACAGATTTTCAATATAATAAAATAATATCTTATGTTAATCATTTTCTAGAAGAAAATCAGGCTCAATGTCATGTTTATTCATATCCATCTCAAATCCAATATTATCAAAGAATAACAAATCATTTTCCAGGTGGAATATTTAAATATGTTCGTTTAATATCATTATATGATGAACATCCTTTTGAACATGAATTTTTTATTCGTATTTCTCAATCATTTCCATTTATTGAAAAATTATCTTTGATTAATAATCAATCACAAAAACATAAACAATCTCACAATTCATCAATTGTTAAATATAATTATCTTGTTACACTTGATATTGAAAAAAGTTCATGATGATTATCTTGAAGAATTTTGATTTCATACAAAAACATATTTTCATAATAATATTGTTGTTTATATTAATTATAAATCATTAGAAAGAGTAACACACAATTTTACAAGAGATTCAACACGAATTAATTGTGCCAAAATAAATAAAATTTATTTATGGGGAGAAAAGAATTATTCCAATTCTTTACGAGATTATTTTCCTCAAGCAATAATACCTTGATTATTATTTTATTCAAAGATCAATCATTTTACAAAAGAAAGAAAAATATTCTCAAGAAATAAATTAATATGATCATATCTTACAAATTTTTATCTGTCAAATAGATTTTTTTTTTGTATTTAATATTTGAAATTAAAACAATAAAAAGAGATATCACTTAATGTTGTTAAATTTGACAATTCTTTTTTTATTCTTTTTTCAAATATAATCATCAGGATCTAATAATGACTTTCATCACAAAATGGACTTAATCAAACGTCACTTTTTGAAAAGATCTTTTAAGATTAAAAATTCTTTTTTTTAAATTGTTTAGTCAATTTCATATAGGACTTTTCTCATTAGAGAATTCGTTCATTTCTTTTTCTATTAAAATAATTTGACTGAATACTAAAAAATATTATTTTTTATTAAAGATGATTGGATGTATCTTATTAAATGAGATCAAGAGAAATATTTTATTGACAAATAAATTATTTTATTCAAATAGACAAATACAAATATTTTTATTCTTTAATAAAAATAAACCAAATCAAAATTTGCAAAGTTATTCAACGTATGTATAATATCATCTTTAGATTTACTCTAGCAATTCTTTTTTCTTTGTCTATCTTATCAACGTATTTTTCGCAATTATTTATTTTGATTTCTAATTAAAACTCAAATTAGATATTCATAATATCAATCAACCTGTTCCTATTTTACATTGAATTTGTTCATCTAACTGTATCATTTTATTGTTACGGATGAAAAGAATATAAAACAAATAAATCAATCCTCTTCAAGATGATGTTTTAGCTAATTGTTCTGTATCAATTTTTTGATTAAACTGAGCTGCAGTTTCCGGAGTAACATCCAGTGTTTTATCCAGTGGGGAGGGGAAGGAGGGCATGGGACATTTTACCCCCCCCCCCCTTGAGACAAAGTTTTAAAAAGTCAATATAATTGTTCTAAAACTATTTTTTACGACAGATTCTGAAAGTTGTTAATAAATCTAATGTTGTTAAAATAGAATCAGTATTTTATCTAGCGTGGGGACAGGAGGAACCGCACTCTCCCGGAGATTGTGTTGGCTCTCTTCGGAATAATTTGAAATATCTTTCAGAAAGAAAAAAAGATCAGTGCAACTTTTCTACAACTTTTTGTTCGATGAAAATTTGCAGGAAATGTCATTTGATCAAAAATGAACAAAATCATTTACTGTAATAGAAAAATATCATATACAATATTGCAATGAAAAACAAATACCGAAAAAAGTAGTATTCTCCATAAATGATGACTCTCAATAATTATAGTGCTTTGTTTTTGGTATAACTCTACTAGTCTTGAGTTTTACCCAGGTTTAATGGTGACGAGCAGTAACTATTATTGATTAATTAAAAGGGTTCTACAAAGGACTGTTATGTGACTAAAAACCTATTGTCATGGCTGCAACTGCTGTAGTTTCAATAGGTTTGAGTCACTTATAATCCGCCATATATATGTTTTATTTAGCACCGATTTAGGAGGAAGACCGACATGCCATAACAATTGCGATTCAACTCATATCGTACGAACCGGTCGAAAAGCGTCGGTTAATTCCGGTTACTTTTGTGACCGACAGTTAACCGTAATTATTTCCTTTGCTCTCAGTGTTTCATAGCGTAAAAAATGACGGTTAACCTTCCGGTTGACCGAAGAAATATTGGTCAGAACTGCTAACTTTTTCGGCCAACCAGGAGGTCAGCCGTGGTTAACCGTCGGTTTTTACGCTTTGAAACTTCCAGAAGAAAGGAAATAACCGTGGGTCGCAAAAATAACCAGAATTAACAGATGATTTTCGATCGGTTCGTATGACACGGGAACCTCGTGTACACCATTATTGTATCATTAGAGATCCTAAGGAATAACGATTTGAGACAGAAGCGAGCTTCCATTGATTCTTGGAGACATCATGAATCAACCATGTTCTATCAGATGGAACGTTGAGAACATTTTCATAGTATGGTCTTTAACTATTTTTTTGGCCCACCTTTGATAATTCTAAAAACTATATGGTTTTGTAGCCCATGAAAAATACTATTGAACCAGCTATAATAGAACCTGGTTACACCTGATTTTATATGTGAAAGGTTGATCTCAAAGACTCATTCAAATGATGAATTTATGATTGTGAAAATCCTTAAATGTACCAGAACGATAGCTCGAATCCGGGTATCAAAGTACTAGCCGCGAAAAACTCTTGCATCCTATATATGATTGTGATGAGTTCAATTTGAAAAGTGTCATGAACCAAATTACGTTCTTATGCATCCCTGTCCTATTCTATTCTCTTTTAATGTTGTCTTTCAATTGTCTCATATTATTGTATTACTGTTCTCACCATTTCTCTTTCAGTACCTCCTAAAATTATTCTATAAGTTCAACGCGTTGACTAGTTATGCAGTACTATTCTCTGGTTTAATTCGATTGATACAAATACATCTAACGAAATTCTAGAATCTTGATCTTCGTGAAAAATTACATGTCCTATATCACCTAATCTTTTGGTTGTGTTCTTTTTGTTATTAACCTTTGCATTTCTTTTATCGAATTATACAGAAATGAAATTATGTCCTAGAAGAAAACAGTTTTTCCTGTAGTATATGTTTTAAAAAGAGACTCTAGAATCAATATTTATTCCAACATTGTTATATCGCATTTTAACTTTCGACTAATTAGAAAATTGATGAAATAGTGCATGATAATGTTGTTACAAATTCTTATTTATAGTAAAAACTATCGACTTGAAAAAGTAGGTGTCGATAAGGGTTCTCTACTCGTCAAAACATACATGAATGCTTACATCTTTGAATTTTTAGAGTTTATTGGGTTCTGTTTCGTTGTAGTCGATGACCGCTTAATTTTTATTAATGCTTGAATGTCAAAGTCTTACACGAAACATTAATAAGTAGAAAAAGCTGTCTCTCTCTTTCTCTTAGTAAGAACATCTTGAATGAATTTGATGAACTAGCTGAAGAGAAAGTAAGAAATTCTGCCATGCTACGGCAATATAAATATAATTCAGAGAACAATATTCATTAGTCAATAATTCACATAAGATAATAATAAAACTTGAATAGAATGTGGGAACACTAATTTAGCGAAACGAATAAATAAACTATATAAATGAATCAATGACGAATAATGTAACAGTTTATTTTTAGCAATAATTATACTGAGCCAAAACATCAATTTTTATCTTCCGATAGCAATGATACTGTACTTTATATTTCGATATCGACATTTTTTGTTCAAAAACAAACGAAGGTTTGTATTAATAATTGAGAAAAAATATAATTGTTAGGTCCCATGTCCAAGCCTCACAAAAATGTAGGGAGAGATGCATATTCGCACCAATAATTGAAAATTCTCCGTCAAATACCCGACTTAACTGTGTCGAAGACTATCGAATTTTGTTCTGTCATTGTGCAAATGTCCAGTACACATAAGTTTATGATACAATATAACTTGATTGTTCAGCCCTCTTTTATAAACTAATAATCAATAGACAAACAAAATTTTGACATTAGCAAACAGCTTGTTGTTGTTAATAGACGAGAAATCAATTGCTCTTATCGAAGAGCTGAGGCATATCATCATTCTCACTCTCATGATGAACACCCTAGGTATAACCTGCTTGAGAACGTCACCTTATATTTCAATATAGTTACAAGATTTTTAGATCTCGTTGACAATTCATAGTGACCTCATAAAATAGCTACGGTTTATATTAAGCATATTTCATATAAGATTGATGTTATGTATCCCGATCAAAATGATTCTAGATTCAAAAGCACCAAAAATATCATTTAACTAACTTTCAGCTTGTCTAAACTGTACCGAAAAAGACAAATAATACCAAGCCATATATCAATATTATTAAAAATATATTATTTATCAAATGAAATTTAATTCAATTGTTTCTCCTTTGATTCTATAACTCGTCTTATATGGATTCATCAGTACACGATGAAACAGAAAACTTTTTTCAACATAAAAAGTGAAATCTAGAGATGATTAAAATCCTTAGACTTTTACACGTCTTTTCTATATTGTATGGATGAAACTAAACAATTCATTCAAAGAAATTATAAATTCATGAATAAATAGCGTTTAAAACAAAAAAAAATCAGTGAGCAATAAAGCTCAAAGATCCAGACGGTGATTAGATTCTTGTTATGTAGAGTCCGACTCGCTACTATTAAGGTAGAAAATCTCTGACAAAAAAAAAATTTTCATTATTTTCACTTTATTCTTTTCTTTGCATTTTCTTCAGAAAAAAAATTAAGGTTTGACCCCGACGTGACTTGAACACGCAACCTTCTGATCTGGAGTCAGACGCGCTACCGTTGCGCCACGGAGTCGACATTAGTGAAGGAATAGAAAAAGAACTGGTTGTTCTCATACCCAAAGAAAACAGCACAAACTGTTCTATCCAATAAGTTATTTCTATTATTTTCACATCCAATCTTGATTAGATCGATATATATGCTAGTATATCGAACAATGACCGTTCATTTTATCATAGTTCAACCATGGTAAAGAAGAGAAAAAGAATAGGAAGAAGAAAAAGAAAAAGAAAAAAAAACGTTTTTTCTCTTGCATATAAACTACTTCGTTCGCATTCTTCTTTTCTTTTCTTTCTTCTTCATCATTCATCATCGCCTGTGCGTGCCCCTACCGCAGCCGCTATTACTATCGTTGTTGTTCGCCTTAAGCCTAAAAGAGAATTGTGCATTGGTTGGTCGATAAAGAAGATGGAATA